CAGTGATTCCCAATCAGGGGCAGTTTTGCCCCACAGGGGACATTTGGAAACATCTGAAGATGTCTTTGGTTGTCACACAAAGGGGCAGGGGCTGTTAACTGGCTTGAGGTGGGCAGAGGCCAAGGAGGTGGCTAAGCATCCTACAAGGCACAGAATAACCCTATAACAAAGAACTCAGCGGCCCAAAATATTAGTAGTGCTGAAGTGGAGAAACCATGATCTAGACTATTCTGCCACACTTATAATCTGCTCTGTACTTCACTGCCAAGCCAGTATTCCTAAACCACCAAATTTATCTAAACCTTCCTCCTAAGCTTCAGTAGCTCCAGTAGCTTCTCATTGCCTGAAAGTTCAGATCTTTCCTTCTCGCCCAGGCATTTAAATCCCTCTTGCCCACTTATGTGTTCCTTCCCCAGCAGGAGCTCTACTCCTCACAAGCTTTCATCTTCACCAGCCTCCACACTATCATCCTTTTACCGATGTTATCCCTCCCTCACACATGTACCTTGCGAGGATCCTCCCCACGTCTCTTCTCTGATCCAAACCTTACTCATTCTTTGAAGCCCACACATGCTGCACGCCCCTCTGCCAATGAGCCGGTCTCTTTTTGTAGCACTCCCTTCTGGACTTCTCATGGGCTCACACGTCTTACACTGTCATATAGCTCTTCCCTCCATCTTCTTTCCTCAGTGAACTCGCTGAAGGGCGCCATATTGCATTTCCGGCCTTTCAGTCTCAGTTTGCACAGCATAAGGTGTGAAAACTATATTGTTGTATTGAGAGATTTTTGTATTGAGAGTCAAATGAGACGAGTATAAAGAGCACCTTGTACAGGGCCTGGTACCTAGTTAAGTGCTCAGAAAATTATGGTATCATAGTATCTATAGAAGATTACAATCAGGAGCCCTCAGAATGTACTTAATAAATCTTTTAATAGTAGTTACGTACTGGAGAGAGCATGCATTCAGACTAGCCTGGTCTTTGGAACTAACAGCAGAGAAAAACTTGCATCAGAAATTCTACACCAATTAACACGCCTTCATGCTAGAGCGAATCCAGGAGCAGTGGGTGTCACATTTTCTCAAAGTGGTGCCTAAGCCAACCTTTCTGCCTTTAACAAGTTAATGAATAGCTTATGAGTAACACTTTGCCCACTCTGGCCCAATTTAGAAGGCTGCCGATAGGATGGGATGTCAGTACGGCACCCTCGGCTTTGCTGGGGTCCCAGCTGCATCCTCCCTAAGTGATTCTGCTCTCAGCAGCTGGAGGCTCCAATATCACTAACGAAGTGGGCACCAGTGTGATGAGGCTGCAGAGAGGTCCTGGCCTTTCCCCAAGTGGAAGAGAGGCTTGTCTCAGATCCTGTGAGAGAAGGGAGTGGGGCCTGGTATTCCGAGCAGCCCAGGTTTGGCTTTGGGCCAGGCACTGAGTGGCAAACAAGAAGGAACACATTCCGGGAAGGCAAGGAGCCCTGCCAACGCAAAGGCGGCCCGGCAAGCTGGGCCTGCTGGGCGCCAGGTGCTCCTTGGCTCTGTGGAGGTCAGGCACGCGGGGAAATGCACTCGGGTTTCTCTGGATTATCATTTCAGAGGCTTATATAGCTCCCTCCCTCTCACTTTCGGTGGACAAAGCAGCATTAAACCTCTAAACCTCTGTCCTCTGGGGTCTAGCCCCTCATCTCTGAATAAAGGTAGGTGGGGAAGCAGTGTTGTGGCCTCCTAAGATCACACTTCGCTGGAGCCGGGTGTCTGTAATTCTGTGCCCTGAGTAAGAGAAGGTGCTGTCTACAGCAAGGGCAGGCCAAGGGGAAAACTGGGATTTCTATGCTCTTGTTGGAAGAAAAGCTGATCTCACCACCCTCCTCCTCCTGCACCCACCCCCACACCTAAACAAAACATGCTGGTTCTTCACACCTGCCAGTTCTGCCTCCTTACTGGCCTGACCTTCAGGTCCGAAGAGCCCTCGGGATGGTGTTTCATTCTGCTTGCCACCAACCGCGCCTCCCACCATGAAAGAAGAGGGAAAGGAAAAGGGAAAGAATGGAAGGAAACCATGGAGAAATGGCCACGGGAGCTTGCCAGAACTTCCCTTCTGCTGCTGGATAGGCAATGCACTGGACTTGGACTAGGCCTGGCTTGTTTTCACCCCACAAGTGGGCAGCAGGGGCCCTTCTTTGACCAAGGGGAATGAAGTCTGGGCCTCTCTGCGGCTCCAGCTACTGCTGGACTTTGCTGCCACCTAGTGGCCAGATGGCATCTCTTCCCCCTCAAAGAGACCAGCCTGGAGATCTGGCTTCAGTCCCCGCCTAAGGCAAACTTAAGAGCCTTCTCTGCAAAGCTTCTCTACCCAGGAGGCCCTGTTTCTGCAGCCCAGCGAGAGGAGCAGCCCAGGTTCATGACCTCACCCAGTTCAACAGGCGTCCCAATGCCATGGCCACCAGGTAGGAGGGCCAAGGCTGGCTGGCTGGGGGCCAGGGATGGCAGCAGTCTTTTACTCACAGAGCCCCCTGTGGGGTACGGTTCTGCCACAGCTCCCCTCATTTCTGAATGCCCTTTTCAGCAGAGCTCCTGCTCCTCTCATGATTCTGCCTTGTCTGGCTACACCCATGTTGTTAAACCCAGGCTCCTGCAATGTATATATCTATATATCCGTATATCTGTATCTATATATCTCCCATTTCTTCAAATTTAAGGCAGTTGTTTCTTCCTTATGAAGTTAGCTCATTTCAACTTTAAATTTATAGAGATTATATGCCCTCTCTGTGATGTTGCTGCTATAAGCCAGTCTCTGAGAATAATGGAAAGGGGGTATAGTCTGTAGATCATCCGCCATATTTTCCTGCAGCTTACATTCACCTGTTTACTTCCTCTAGCAAAAGAAAGCATTTGGTTTCAGCAACCACTGATCTTACAGACCAAACTTTCAGATCTGAGCAGCAGTACCCAGGGATTATATAAAATCCAAACTCCCTTTTCCTGCCTACCTCTCCAGCCTCTTTGTGTGTGTGTGTGTTAAAATACACATAAAATTTACCATCTTCATAATTTTTAAGTGTATAGTCCCATAGTGTCAAGTATATTCCCATTATTCTGCAACCATCATCACTGTCTCCAGACTCTGTCTTGTAAAACTGAAACTCCATGCCCATTAAACAATAACTCTCACTTCCCTTCCCCCCAGCCCCTGGCAACCACCATTCTGCTTTCTGTCTCTATGAATGTGACCATTCTAGGGACCTCATGTAAGTGGACTCATACTGTGTTTGTCTTTTTTTTTTCTCCTAAAGATTTATTTAGTTATTTGAGAAAGAGAGCAGGGAGAGGACAGAGAGAGAGGGAGAAGCAGACTCCCCGCTGAGCACAAAGCCCAATGAGGGGTTCGATCCCATGAGATCATGACCTGAGCTGAAATCAAAGAGTCAGTGGCCCAGCTGACTGAGACACCCAGGCGCCCCCGTGTTTGGTTTTTTGTGGCTGGCTTATTTCACTTGGCAAAATGTCCTTAAAGTTCATCCATGTTACAGCATGTGTCTGAATTTTCCTCCTTTTTAAGGATGAATAACATTCCATGGTATGCATATACCACACTTTGTTTATCCGTTTTTTGGTTACTAGACACCTGACCTGGGTTGCTTCCACCTTTTGGCTATTTGAGTAATGCTGCTCTGAACATGGGTGTGCAGAGAGAGAACTCTTCAAAACCTGGCTTTCAGCTCTTTTGAGGAGACAGCCAGAAGTGGCAGTACTGGACCATATGGCAATTGCCTTTAGTTTTTTGAAAACCTGCCATACCGTTTTGCACAGTGGCGGCGCCATTTTACCTTCCCACCTGCAGTGCATAAGGGCTCCATTTTCCCCACATCCTCACCAACACTTGTTTTCTGCTGGAGAGTAGCTGTCCTAATGCGTGTGAAGTGGTGCCTGACTGTGGTTCTGAATTCCCAGGGCCTAGTGGTGTTGAGCATCTTTTCATGTGCCCGTTGGCCATTTGTGTCTCTTCTTCAGAGAAACGTCCTTTCGGGTTCCTTACACACTTTTTAATTGGTTTTGTGTGTTGTTGGTGTTGACCTCTCCAACGTCTTTCCACATCACTCTCCCACCTGATCAGTTTCCTCAAGTTCTGCTGAGTCTCTCTGTGCAGAAGAGACAAATGCATTCTCTCCTAGGTTTTGCAGTTACTGATCCATTGGCCATGAAATGCCAATGAACGGAACCAAAGAATGGACCCATGGCTGGGTCCTCATACCTTAACACCAATCTCAGTGTCACTTCAAAGAGCCTTTCCTGCCCATCCACCTACAGCCAACTCCCCATTTACTCTCATATCACCATTTCTCCCCTTCATGGAACCGAAGCACAATCTGCATTTCCCTTGCTTGTTTACATGTTTACTCAGAACTTAGTTTACATGGAGCAAAAGTGCCGTGGGGACACAGAGACAGCCTGACATGCTCACTGCTCTATCCCCAGAGCCTGGCATAGTACCTGGCTTGTGGTCTAGGCTCAGTATTTGCTGAATGAATGAATCACTACTAGAAGGGGCATCCTAGGGAAAAAGAAAGGTAATGTGGCCCAAATTGGAACTTAACCTCCCCACTCTAGGCTCGATGTCATACAAAAGGACACAGGGATTTTATATAAAAGGACACAGGGATTTTCTGGCTTGGGGTTCAGGGTTCCAGACTTGAATTCCTGAGTCAGAAGCACAGTACCATTTGAATAGGGACATCGCTTTGGAGCTGCCCAAGAGAAATAGGGAAGCCTTCTCGGTGTCCACCCAGCAGAGGCAGAAGGCCACAGAGGTTTACCGTGGCCGCTCTTCCCCTTCCCAATACACCAGAAGCGTTAGGCAGCTTGGCTACAGCCTCGTGAGATTTGCAGAGCACCCGAGATGCTGGGGCTGACTTGGGCTCCATCAGTCTCCTTTGTGCCAAGTTATGTCAGCATGAGTACCTTCCATGTGTGGTCAAAAGATAAAAATGAACTTTCCATACCACAGGACACTAGAAAAATCAAATGTTTGTATTTGAAAATATTTTCAGTGGCTAATGCCATGCTGGAACAACCCAAGGATAGTTGAACCAATCTCTCGGGGAATCAGAGGAATGTCAGCCTCCACAAGCAGGTCTGTATAGTTTACAAATGCGCACGGGAGAAAGGACACTGGCCCCAGAGGACCAGGCTGAGGAAGAAAAGGGAGAAACGGACAGAGGGCCCTCCAGAGCGACAGGCACACTCCTACCACTGAAACCCCTGGACCCAAGATGACCTCCAGAGCCGCCTACCCTGCAGCATGGCTCTTGCCCTTTCTGAGCCTGGGGCGTGGCCAGAGACCAGACTCACCAGCATGTGCACACAGCTGCCCATGACGTGGCACCTCTGGTGGCCTCTCATGAGCCTGGGGCTCAAGCTAGCAGGGCTCAGAGAATGGACCGATTCTCCCTGCCCTCCAGCAAGGACCAAGGCGGGGAGACACTGGGGTAAGTAGGGTTATTTCCCTGAAAACATGATATAAAGGTGATAAACGGGGCTCGTTCCAATAAAAGGGTGGGTTTTTCTCCAGAGTGGTGCTGTGGGGAGAAAGGAATATGAGTTTACCTGCCACCTACAGCTGTGCTACAAACCACCCCTCCAGGCAGGCTCTAAGCTTAATCCTAGAACCCGCAGCGGCGGGAGAATAGAGAGACCACTAGTCTGCACTTAGGGACCTGTCCCCTACAGACACCATCCCTCACATCCTCATTTGGGTTTGTCATAAGCAAGATAGTCACAGTTCCACGATAACTAAATTCCCCTTGGATTTCTCCCAGATTAACCTCTCAGGTGTTTGAAGAAGGAAAAGCAGTGACTGTTTCTGACACACTCACCCCAACACCAGCGACTTTGCCTGATACTTCTGACCTCCTCACTAAGGCCCTTCTGGAACCCCTAAAGGCACTGTTTTAGCATGTTGGAGTCCCAGGGAGAGCTGGCAGAGTTCTGAGGCACAGCAGAGCTGTTTAGAACAGAGGAGGCCTTGGCAGAGATGGAGGACTCTCTAAGGCAAAGCTACCACTGTGTCTACTCTTCCTATCCCTACCTCTCTTGTCCCTAGAGGTATCAGAGAGAACCCCTTGACCTGGTCCCTGCACTGTACCAGACCCACCTTGGACACCCCCACCTTATTCATGGAGGGCAGGACCTTCCCCCATAGCCTGCAACTCACTGATTACAGGTGACATGAGGGAGCTCTGTGACAGCCCGACACCATCGTGCCCAGGTGCCCAGCCACGCTTCCCCGACAGGCTGCTGTTGGTCATGGCCCCTCAGGCAGTCAGGCAGGGAGTACAAAGCTCAAATCAAAGTCCCTGACCTTCCCCTCCCCCCATACCCAGTGGGGGTCACTCCCCATCGTCTACTTCCCGCCTGGGACACCTCAGACTGTTGGAACACACAGGGGAAGATGAAATACCAGGTCTGTGACCACAGTGATCAAAGCCTGTTCCACCTGTCTCACTAGGAAGTGGCAGCGAAGGACCCAGAATGCTGGACCTCTGCCCTCCTTCACAGCCCCTGCCACCATCCTCTGCTGCAAATACTGTCCTCTGGATTCAGCCAATCCTCCTCATAAGGGCCCAGAACAGAGCCTCAGCACAGGGCGTGAATATTCCCCTCTGGCTGGAATCCTAGCTACACACCCTCCTCTTCTCCTTCATAGCTCCCCCCTCACTTTCCCAGGCTGCCCTTGGCCTCAGGGGCCGAAGCGAGAGCATGGTATGTTGGGAGAGAGCAGAGCCCTGCTGGTGGTTTGGGTTTGGGCCTCTGTCCCACTCCTGCAATGAGCCGCGTGACCATGCACAGCTGCATTCCAGGTACCAAAACTTGGCCTTTTGTCCCCTGGGTGTCTCCTAGTGCTCTTGCTTCTGTGCCAGACTGTTTCCGAGGAACAAGTTAATTTTCTTTTTCCAAGTGCTTGCTGAAGCTTAGTATACAGAATTTCTTGGCCGGTTCCAAGAATCTGGCTTTGTGTCTGAGTCCCCAAATTGTAGGAGCTTGGTCAACAGGAGGGCTAAGAGCTGGGGGAGGAGGAAGGATCTGGAGTATTCTCCTTCCTACTCAGTCTCAGCACAGCAGCATCAACCACAGGAGTCACTGGTGGAACCTTAGCACCCAGAGCGTTCTTCTTGGAGAAGCCGGGGTGGCCGTTACCTGCACACGAGAGATTCCCAGATCAGAGAAGGGGCTTACAAGGCAGACAGACAGGTCAGTAGAGCCTTTCTCTGCCTCCCCTCACTACCCCCCCGCCCCGCCACCAAGAGCTGGTCAAGCTGGTCAGGGTGGGATCTGTGTACCCTGCATGCTCTGTCCAACCTTGCTTGGCAGATTGAGCTGTCAAGCCAGCTCAAGGGCAAGGCCAAGTCCAGCCAGGATGACACGCAACCTGGCTGTAGGTATTGGCTCCTGTCCTTTACCTTCAGTCCCCAAGGCATTGGGAAGAGACAGGACATCACCTGTGCCCAGGGACTGGGCCATCCCAATTCAGGGAGCATAACTGCTGTTCCAGCCGGGAGATGCGGAATGCCAGATAGGATGACGACATGACCAAGAAGCAGATCCTGGAGAAAGAGAGATAAGGATATCTTACCTGGAAAAAGGACATTTTTAGAGACTCACCAAAAACAGGAATGGGAACAAAGCTACTTCCCGCAACTGAAAGAATTAAAGAACTCTTTGCCTCTTGGCTACGTTCAGGCCTGGACATCTTTGTGTCTAGGGGCCATGTGGGGGTCCTGAGACTCATCCCCACGGAGGTGTCCTCAAAGCCCAGCAGGATTCTGGGTCCTTAAACTGAGCCCACCTTCCCTCTGACCAGCCACCTTGGTCCTGTGCCTCCTCTTCAAGACTACCAAGATTATCCCCTAAGGTGGTAGGCCCACTCTCCCAGCAAATGCTGAGGCTGACCATTGGAACTCAGCCAGCAGAAGCAGAGGAAGGTCACGAGGTAAGATGAGGGGACACCAGGAGCTGGCTAAACTAAACACTAAACACCCCACCGTGCTCACCCCTCTGCTGGTCCTTAGGCAGAATTACAGACAAGTCTGGGGTTCCAGAAACTGCTCTAAAGGTGGGTGGCAGGAAGGCCATGGCTCTCCCCTAGTCTATCCGATGGCCCTCTCCAATTTTGTTAGTTGTCCCCCTCCCCAGTCCTGTGCACGTTTTCCTTTTTTCAACAGCTTCTTATCCTGCCCCTCCCTACTGCACAGCCTTACCCCTAAATTACAGGGGTGCATGAATAAAGACGGGAGACACTTAGTCTTGCTGCAGAAGAGCCTGCCAGGTAACCTCCAGACACCACCCAGGAGCTTTCAGTTGACTTAGGACCTTCCCCTCCCTCTGGACAGTGACCTCCCCACACACAGAGGCCCCTGCTCCAAACAGCCAGCCACCCAGGTGAGTTTAACCACCCCCATCCCCAATGTAGTCACCTACAGCACAAAGATGACCTTGAGGAGCTGGTAATCCCAGAGCCTCAGCTTCCCGTCGCTCCTGGGCTCCTCCTCCAGCTTCTCCTCCTCACAGACGTCATTCTCTGTGATAGGAGAGCAATAGGCATCTTTGTGGGGCAGGAGGCAGGAGCCCAGCCCAGCAAGCCCACCTCCCCCCACTCTCTGAAGCTGCTCAGGCTTGTGGCTTGGCTTTCCCTTATGGATTTGGATTAAATAAGAAACAGCTCTCAGAAGCCTTGCTGGCTGTGATTTTTCCTCTTTGCAGTAGTAGGGGCAGGGAAAGCCTGGTCTGTGTAAGCAGTTGTCATAGACAAGCACGCTGAGCTCACCAGACCCAGGAGGCTTCCTGGGAAAGAAGCTGTCCGTGGAGTCCATGGATGCCCGAGGGATACAAGGGATGTTGTCTGGGAGGGACAGGGACCTGGAGGCAGGGCACACTTTTCTCCACTTCATCTCAGGGATGAGGACTTCCTGCAGAGAAGGCAGATGAAACTCTCTATGACCCTTGGGATGTCACGTGTCCTAAGGGGCCCACACTAGGTTTATCAAAAATTTTCCAGATATTGGGGCACCTGGGTGGCTCAGTGGGTTGAAGCCTCTGCCTTCGGCTCAGGTCATGATCCCAGGGTCCTGGGATCAAGCCCCACATTGGGCTCTCTGCTCAGCGGCGAGCCTGCTTCCCCACCCACCCTGCCTGCCTCTCTGCCTACTTGTGATCTCTGTCTGTCAAATAAATAAAAATAAAATCTTAAAAAAAATTTTTCCCCAGATATTACCAATTTGGATACCTAGTGAGCGTGAAGGCAGGTACCCAGAAGGAGGGAAACCATTGCCATAGCAACCTTGTGTCTCTCTTATCAGTTCCCTTGCTGGGACCAGCCATTCTTCCAGGGAACAATGTCTTTGAAGACTGCTGGTACAGAACCACAGCGGGATCTAAGACGTGAGCTAACCCAGGTACGTGCTCAGATCTGTGGAGCCCAAGAAAGCTTGGCACAATGTATCTTAAATGGGATAAGTCCTCCTAATCTGGACTCAAACCCTAAGTACATCACTGACCTTAGCAGGAGTACCTAGGGTCCCCATCAACAAAAATGGGAACAGCACCTTCTATCGCCATCATAGTATTGTGTATACTGTATGCTTGGCTAAATGCTTAATGGTTAGTGAAGAAGACTTCAAACACCCTGGGGTCATTTCCATCTCCATCACTGTTGCAGAAACTCAGCGCTGCCTACCCAGAACTGGGACCTCAGTTGGGATTGCTGGGACCTCGGCAAATCTCAAATGAGTCTGAGTTCTCCAGTGATAGCCTTTGGAGTTCTTCCCTGAGGACCTCTCTATCCCCTGGAAGGCCCTCCTGTCCCTGCTAAACAAAAGAGGATAGGTCACCGGCTCTGCGCTGTCTGGCTGTGGGCTCTGCCCTGCGCAGTGTTCTGGGGGCTGGGCATCTCTTCCGCTCAGGTAGTCAGCAGATCTGCCCAGGACCTAGTGGCTGCTCATGGCGTGGAGTGTGTCAGGTCTAGGGGACCCCCTGGCATAGCACGGCCACTGGCTCTTGAGCCTGGAGCCCCAGTTCTGCATTGTGGGCCGCTGCCCAGGAGGCCCTGAAGCCTCAGAGCCATAGACCCCCTCATGCCAGCAGCTTTTGCTTCCAACCTCAGGTCTCACCAGGGACTCGCATTCAGGTTCCTCTGGAAATTCTCTTACACTCAGGCTCTTCTTGCTGGAAGGCTAAGGAAGAAAGGGAGCTGGGGTCACTTTTCCATCAGGAACAGCCATGGTCAGGAGTGAGGAGGTGTTAGCACTCTCCAAGAGAGCTTTACCTCCAAATAAGCCACCTTGGGTTGGACGAAGCCTAGCTCCCAGAGCTTGCAGAAGTCCCCAAGTTAATGCTGGAGCAGAGGGCAAATCCAAGGAAACATACTTCCCCATGCTGCTGCCCCTCCCCACTTCCTCACGGCGGGCCAAAGAGAGCTGCCGGCCTACTAGGAAGCAGCCACGTGCTTCTGTTCGCATGCTGCAGGAGCACAATGGGGGAGTACACATGGGGACACACAGCGGCCGCTGGCCTCCAAGAGACATGCTCATAATCATAGAGACACAGTCCAAAAACAAGCTCAGATACACTAGGCCTGAGCCCGTTACGCGCCTCTCCCTGTCCTTGGCGCCTGTGCTGGAGAGACGGGCCAACCACCCCTAACAGCCTTGTCCCAGGACCTCAGCCTAGGCCTGAGCAGCCTCCCTGGCCCAACTCCTGCCCCAGAACTCCATACCTGGAGGTGTGTGCAGACCCTTCTCAGCATGTCATATACACTGTCCCGGGAAAGCAGTGACACAAAGACATACTGGGACAGAGAAAGAAAACAGAAAAGGGTGGGGTAAGAACAGACCAGAGAAAGTGCCAGAGTCAGGATCCTGGGGATGGGACAGGAGACTAACCAGGGATGGCTGGCCCAGGGATTCACTGACCTTCTGGCTGGTGTTGGTGGTGATGGCCAGGCCATTAGGAAGAAGCCGCGCCATCTTGTGTTTTTTGATCATTTGGACAGACACCACGGGAATGACCACCTGAGTGAGGAGAGGCATGCTTCTCTCAGGACTCACCCCCAAGGACATGGTCCCTTTGCTTCCTGCACAGAGCCCCAGCCAAGCATGGACACCATGGAGAAGCCTTGCCTTATGTGGGAGAATATGTGAGCCTTCCACTCTCTGACGCAGGCTCCCCTTCCGTTGGTCCCGCCACCCTGCGCCAGCCTTGGCAGCACACACCGCTCGGGGCTCTCACCCTATTATCCAGGATGGATAATCCAAGGATGGTGGCGCTGGTGAACACCATACTCCGTAATGGAGTTCCCTGACCTACCACCTGGCCACAGTTATGGCTCCCCAAAGTGTGACATCCCGCTCTGATCCTGAAGGCATTGCAGGGGCACCCATAGACCAAATGAATTGGCTGTGAACTGTTCTAGGCTCTGTGGAGTCTAGACTGGGGCCCTGCATTGGAAGGAGTCCAGGTGGGGGGCCTCACAGTGAGGGGCTTCAGCAGGTGCCCACTGGTTAGGGGACCTGTCTCTTCCCAGTTGGGGCCTCACAGGCCCATTATTACTACCTTTATATCCTTGCCAAAGAGGCTGGCATGGAAGCAGAGCCAGTTGGGGGAGATGTAGAGCCGGCCCTGGAGAAGAAGGTCTCTCTGGAGGGCGCAGGAACACACTGGAAAGTCGCAGGAAAGAAGATTGCCGTGAGCAAACCAACCCCGAAGGCCCAGGGCCTGCATCCTCACACTCGGGAGTCCAGAGCCCAGCGTCAGGGACTGCCTGCCTCAGAATCCCCCTTCCTGACCCCAGGCCCCAAACACCCATTCCACCAGCACTGAGTCCTTCTCCAGAGTCGTGACTGCCCCACCCAAGCCCATCAAACTGCTAGAGCTTTCCTCCTCCTCCACTCATGCTTCAAAGGGTTCCTTAAGCCTGGATTCTCGCTCCCTCAGACGGAACTCCTTGCCCTGCCCTGGAGAGAGGGCCTTGTTGTGCAAATGCTCTCCCATGCTTACTGAGAGGTCTGAGCAGGAAAGAACAGCCATTGCTAAGAGCAGAACAGAAATAAAATTTGGAAGCCCTGACATGGCCTCAAGAAAACTTTCATAGATTCCATTTCATATCCCCGATCTGCCCACTCTTCTCAGACTTTTGAAGAAAGCGGGCCCAACCACATCCAAAGGGCAGCCAGTTCCCATATCAAAATTGTGCCTTGGAGTCTCTGAAGGAGAGGACCTGGGCCTCAGGCCCTCTAGGCACCTGTCCAGCCACACCTAGGAGATAGCTCACCTTTGAGAACCACCTCCTCCAAGGGGATGTCCTTAAACAGCTTGTGGTATTGTTGGTTGTATTTACTCAGTAGTGTCTGCAAACATACAAGCTGGGGCTGAGAAGTCCTGGGGAGATCAGCCACCAAGGGGGCCCTGCACCACCTACCAGGAAATAATGCCGTGGGGGGGGGGGGTAGGGGCCCCGGGGAGTTAGCACAAAGCAGTCGGTAAAGAGCCAGCAGGGCTGAAAGGCACAGCTTGTCTCTCAGTGACATGGCAACAGAAGGTCCTGCTGGGCAGCCTATGACCTGAGGGTGACGCACCACCCCCACCCGGGAGGGGACACTCACTCAGGTTTCCCTTGGTGACTGGCCATGGTGGCCAAGGAGCCAACAGCCCCGATTCCGGCAGCCCAGAACCCCTCCCTCGGTGGGAAGTGAAGAGGCGGCCTCCACACACTTACCCCTTCTCGGCCACACTTCTTTATCTCTTCACCCTTCAAGCCCTCTGGCCAGTGCAGACTGCAAAGGAGACATTCCATTCCAGGGACAGGGAACCCTTGAGTCCTGCCCATACATCCGCGGTGCCAGGTCTGCCCTGGCTTCAGGCCAGAAGCTTGGTCGAGAGGCTGAAGACTGAGGCCTTTCTCTGGGAGCCACAGCAAGGTGATAGGCGACAGGGAGCGCGGAGCTCAGCCCTGGGGAAGGGCACTCCTGCCTCCAGCTCCCAGAGATGCTTAGTGGCTGCCCACCCTCTCCCTCTTCTCTGGCCAAAGGATAGGCAGAGGAGTAGACCCGAGGTTAGGTGAGTGGGAGACCAGGGATGGGGACCAGTTTGGGGAGCGGGTGAGGTGGAGATGTCAGACTCACGGCTCCGGGGCCTGGCCGTGGGCCATGATCCCGGCAGGATTGCCCTCCTTGCAGCCTTCTCCCTGCAGCCTGGAGCTCAGCAGACTCACCTGACCCTACCAAGGCTGAGGGAGAGGGGGTGGTGCTGGAACGGCCAGGTTGGCCTGAGGACAGGTGGGCAGGGAGGAGGCTGGTAACCTGAGAAGCCTAGACTCTGCTGGGTCCCCAGTGCTGGGACAGGCCCCGGCCAGGAGGAAGAGGCAAGGGGCAGACTTTGCCCAGCCTTACACCTGATGTAAGGGTCCCCTTTCTGCCCCTTCTTTAACCCCTTTGCCCCCTTCTTTTATTTAAGTCGTTATTTAAATGCCAGCTAGTTAACATACAGTGCAATATCGTTTCAGGCGTACAATATAGTGATTCAACACTTCCATACGTCACCCTCATCACCAGTGCCCTCCTTCATCCCCACTACCTGCGTCACCCAACCCCCCACCCACCTCCCCGCTGGTGACCATCCGCATGTTCTCTGGAGTCCAGAGTCTGTTTCTTGGTTCATCCCCTCTCCTTTTCTCCAGTTTGCTTGTTTGACTTGTTTCTTAAATTTCACCTATGAGTGAAGTCATACGGTATCTTTCTCGGACTTAATTTCACTTAGCTTAATACTCACTAGCTCCAACCAGGTCATTGCAAATGGCAAGATGTCGCTCTTTTTTATTTGCCCCTTTCTTTAAGGTCCTCCTGAGGGCTTCCCACCCCCAATCCATAGGCCTATCTGACTGGGAGGGGCCTCACCTGGAGTCCAAAGGTGCCTGAACCCTGGCTAGTTTCTCTGAGCAGGACACAGGGCTCTTCAGAGAAGCCGTCTTTCCATGCATCTGTTGGTCGCTGAGCAGAAACAGGCCCACATCAGGAAGAGCGGCTCTGGGGGAACACCTTTCCCTACCAGCTTCCCCAGGCCCAGGCCAGCTCCTCTCCCCACACCCCAGACCAGCTATGCTATTCGGGCTGAGGCTGAAGACATCACCACCCAGAGGCTGCAAGTCAGGCAGGAGTTCTCTGGTTCCAGACAGAGGGGGCAATCTCACGCCGTCTTTTCTGGAAGCCTGCAGGTCAGTCTATGCCCAGACTGGAAGGGAAATCAGACTACCTTAGTGGGGCACCAAGCAGGTAGGCCCGCCCCACACTTGAGAAAGCACAGTGGGAAGGAGGACTCGAAGACCTGCTCCCGGATGACAGTGTAAGATTCTGAGGTGCCTGGGCAGCATTCCCATAAGCCATCGGGATCTGAGAAAGGATGCTGAGCACAGGAGGCTGAAGCAGAGCTGAGGAGCTGGGGCACGGATGGCGGGGATGGGGGGGCAGTGGGGGCTCCAGTCAACCCATAGGTAACTATGGGCTCGGAGGGGTGGGGCGCCGCTGCACCAGGAGATGGCCTGGTGGCCTTCGGACAGTCAGGGTACCTTGGCCTCACAGCCAAACCATCTCAAAAACGTCCCAGGGAGAGGGCCCTGGAGGGAGGAGAGGCCATCCCCCTGGGCAGGTGGGGCTCCCCAGTGGCATTTGAATTCATGCCTCCCCTAAACAGCTCCAAAGCATAGGGAACCCCCTTCCTGCCCCTGTCAGGGAAGACACAGGCTCAGAATCGATAAAGCCTGAGGAGTCCAACCAACCCGCAAAAGTGTGGGCCCAGAAGCTGACAGGAAGAGAGGCCGGCCAAGAAGCAGGGCCAGGGCCGGGCACCACAGGTGTCACAAACAGTCTACAAGGTCCTGGGCTGATGAGGAGCTGGAAACTGAGGCCTGCAAACACCTGCCCGCAGTCCCTCTCAGCTCTGTCACCGGGGCAAGTCAAAGATGTCTTCTTTGAGAACAGAGTGGCCCACTCAGCCAAGATCTGCCAAGATCCTCAGAGATGATTTAGTCGGACCCCTACCACGCTGCTACGCAGTAGGAAACTGAGTCCCACCGAGGGAGCAGCTGGACCCAGTATCACACGGTGAAGAGCCAGGTGACCTCATGCCACAAAATCAGCCCATCTGCAGCCCTGTGGCCCCGTGACCTCTGCCCTTGCCTTTATGGAGAATTTCAGTGCACCCATCAACATAGGTTTCCTGAATCTTGCAAAGTGACAAATTTTGCTAGTGATTTTGACCCTTTTGACCCCCAAAGGTAATTTCTAGATTTGTTTAGTTCCATCATTCGCATTTTAAGCAGATTTTCCCTTCTCCTCTTGATTTCTACTATGCTCATAATAGAAAATATGAAAGAGATAAAACCTATAAATATGATGATCAAAATCCCCCAGAAGGAAAAAAATTCTTCAAAACTCATCCAAAGGGACGCATAGGTGGCTCAGTTGGTTAAGCCGTTGCCTTCGGCTCAGGTCATGATCCCAGGGTCCTGGGATCGAGTCCCACATCGGGCTCCTTGCTCGGCAAGGAGCCTGCTTCTCTCTCTCTGCCTGCCTCTCTGTCTGCCTGGGCTCATGCGCTCTCTCTCTCTCTGACAAATAAATAAATAAAATCTTAAAAAAAAAACAACAACTCATCCAAAGAAAAGGTTTAGGCATAAATATAGAATTTACATGAATGGAATCATGGATTATAATTCACAGGTCTTACTTTGGTTGCTTAACATGATCTCATGAGGAATTCCCGTGTCCCTGTCCATGGCTGAGACAGATTCTCAGAAGTGTGATTCGTGGGTGGAGAATGCATACTTCTCAGGCCCTTTAGACCCTCGCCCAAAGTGCTTCCAGATGCTCTACTTGCAACCACGGCCATCAGCACTATGTGAAGGCCCGTTCCCGACACACCCATGCCCAACCCTGGCTATTCTGTTCTTCTCACTTTTGCAAATTTGGTACATGGAAACATGCTATTTTCATTTCCATTTCTGCTTACGGAGGGGCTAAGTGAGTTTCCCACGTAGACATATGAACTCCTGGACCCCACCTGTGAATTGTCTATGAGCATCTCCACATTTGTCTTACTGATTTGTATTAAATGTTTTTTCGAGAACATTAGTCCTTAGTTGATCATGTTTGCAAACATCCCCCCAGTGTGTCATTTGCCTTTTAAGTTTTGTCTGAGGTTTTGTTCCTTTTTTGTGTGGTAGATTCCCTCCATGTCTTCCATCTCTCAGTTCCTCACTTGGCTCCCGTGCTTTGGTGGGAGAAGCACCTCGGAGTGCCCTGAGGCAGAGCGTGTACAAGTCAAACCGCTGAGCCCTTGGAGAGCTCAGACTCTGCAGCCTGTGAGCTTTCCTGGGCCACCAGGAAGGAGAAGGAGGTGGGCCTGCTCGAAGGGACACGCCCTGACCTGGAGGACCAGGGATAGAGCGAAGCCCCAAGCAGGACCTTGGCCATGGTCTCAGAGGCTGGGAGACTGTCACTCGGGCACTGGAAAGGGTAACTGGAGGTGTCAGAGCTGCAGGAGCTCGGAGAGCAGACGGAGAGAGTCAAAGACGGGCTCCCAGAGAAAAGGAAGCTGAACCTTACCGCCTGGGTGGGACCATCGCCCTGTATAAGTTCCCATAATCTAACTTGGTGTTCATAATCATGCCTGCGCAGGGATTCTAAACTGAACTCGTCTGTAGGTCCGGTGTGACTTTCTCAGGGAGGGGAGCTGGCCCTCCGCCCTCCCCCAGCCTAGAGAGAAGCCGCCCGCGACAGGCACCCCAATCCGGGCCTCCCTCTCGGCACTTGTCACACCGGGTTGGCACTGGAACTGCTCATCCCCTGGGGCTTCGGCCTGATGGGGACCCTTCTGTCTCCCCCACTGAAGGCCCTGAGCTGGGGGCAATGACAGCGTGTGACAGGCACACATGACACATTGGAGGAATGACTGTGTGGGGACAGGAAGCAAGGCTGGAGGAGGGACAGACCATGAGAAAAACAAAAGGCCGTGTACATTCCCCACAGCAACTCCAGGAAGAGAAAAATGGGGTAAAATGCAGTCACTGGGAGCAAATGACTTTCAAATATAAACTTAAAAGCAACTCCTTTACGCATGACGAACAGGATGGTTACGAGCCATTCCGACCTGTCCATCTGTGAAGGCCAGTCCCTCCGGGACGGCCTCATAATGCTCCTGACACAGCCTGCCTGGGGCCCAAATGTACTGCTTTCAAAATGATCGAGTCAGACTTTCTACCAATTAGTCTTCTCCCCTACAGTGTTTAGGTGAGTAAAAAATAAAGACATGAGAGCAAAGTCAGATGCCCAGGTAGGTCTGGGTGAGAGGGGTCAGCACAGAACCAGTCAGGTGAGGAGCCCCCAAGGATCCACTGAGCCCTGCCGCTGAAGAGACTTCAAGAGCAGGAAGTTGGAGAATGAGGGGACCAGCCTGGGTCCCCCACCGTGCTGGCAGCCACCTTGACATTCCCACGCAGGCCTCGTCAAGCCAGTTACTCTGTGTGTTGTGAACGACACCCCCGGGCCATCCAGTCCCACCCCACCTCCACACGTGCTCTGTGGGGTAAGATCAGAATTCCTCAAATCCATGTCTGTTTTTTTAATCAAAGCCACCCCCGCCAATATCATTATGTACATTAAGTAATTAAGTAATGTCCAACACTTTGGACATTAGAGGGGGTAGAAAAAGATGGGGGAGGCCCCGATGGGGCCCTTCCACCCAGGGCAGGGTGCCTCTCCAGAGGACGGAACAGGTACTTGGCCTGCCCGCAAGCCTTCCTTCGTTCCCTCCACAAATACTCACTGAGCTTATCCCACCGGGAGCCCCAGCGTGGGGCCTGCCACGGGGCTGCTGAAAGGGCAGGGATGGGCAGCTAGCAGATTCGGGGAGATGTCAGAAGAGGAGCCAGGCCAGTCAAGAAAGGGGGGGGCACAGAGAGAGCAGGAGAGGGAGAGACAATGAGGAGGGACTCCAGAGGAGCCAGAATCGAGCTGCGTCCTGCAGAACTCGTGGACCAGGCTTCACGGGACACCTGCCACGAGCACTCCGGTCTCAAAGCTTCCCCAGGCTCAAGCTACTCCCACCACGTGGGTACTCCCAAACTGAAATCTCTAACCTCGACGCCCTCTCTCCTCCTGAGCTTCAGCCTGCCATTGGGATTCGGCCACCAAGACACGCTTGCTGTCATCCCTCCAGACCTGCTTCCTTCTGAGCACCTGACATCCCTGAGAGGCTCCTCCTGCCACAGTGGCCCAAGCCAGAATTGGAAGCTGTCTTCTCCCCACCCCCACCACCAATCAATCCCCAAGTCCCCAGGACACCATCTCCACTCCAACTGCGCCGGCCAGCCTCATCACCACCATCCCTTCCCCCAACGCTGGTGACAAGCTTGCTCTCCTGCCTGGCCCTGTCCTGCTTCTGCCGGCCAGCAGAGCCACCTGGGACCCAGATCTGACCCCGCCCCTCTGCTGCTGACATTCCTTCTTGAGTTCCCCCTCGCCTCCTCGGCAGGCCTTCCTAAGCTTCCCGCTTCCCTTCCCAGGCTCCCCCACAAGGCTCCCCTGTGCCCCAGCTTCCTTGCGTCCTCCCCAGCAGTGCATACCCCAAACCCAGAATTCCTCTCCACGCTCATCTGCCTAGGGAATTCCACTCATCTTTCGAGCCCCAGTTCAAATGGCACCTCTTCTGTGAAGCCTTTCCTGGTTTCCCCCAGGACGGAGCTGGTCAGTCCCTCCATCCTGCTGTCGTTCCAGCACCCACCACACCAGACTGTAAGCACACTCTGTTTACACATCTGTCTGCCCCCACTCCACTCTGAGCTCCCCCAGGGGTGTGTTTCATACATCCTTGTATCCCCAGTACACAGTGGGCATGCAGTGTTTGCTACTGTGAGGGAAGGAGACAGAGAAAGAGAGATGGTGACACTCCCAGAGGGAGGAGTGGAGGGAAAAGCACAGAGATAGAGCCCACG